TGACGCCAATTTTGAATCACCCTGTATATAATATATACAGCAATATATAATATAATACTATACGAATCGATAATATATACGAATAATAATACGAATTAACTTGTACGGCTTACCACCTATTTTTTATTATATAAGAACTACTTGAATTTTAAATTTATAATTCTTGAATATACAGGGTGTTTGGTAAGTAGATTCATTCCTTGTAGGAGGTGATAGTGCAGGTAATTTTGGATATATGTCTTTAATAGACCATATTCCGAAAACTCTTAGTCTCCGATCTACAGCGTGCTAAAATATTAATTTAAAAAAAATATATTTTTTAATATCGGAAATCCTTTGGAGTATTTTAATTAAATTTTACAAACTTAGGCACTTAACAGCAGTACATGTTTTGTGACAAAAATTTTGTTATTAGCTTCGCCAGAGGCGTGGGAACTAGCACCACTGTAGATAATTTTAAATAAAAAAATGTTACGTCACTGATTTTTCTAAAAATAAATATTATTTTTCAAGTTCTTGTTCAATTTGGAAAAGAAAATGGCTCTTGAATTTTTTTCTACAACGCACCGTGTTTGAGTAAAAAAATTAAAATCAATTTATTGCCCGGCGTAATCGGGTTTTTATTTAAACATTTGGCTCTTCACTAGTTATGGTCACTGATCGAAAAAAAGAATGATTGCTGTCATTGCTGTCTGAGTAGCTCCTTTTTGCGTTTTTCTTTTGTAATAAAATTGATACAATCTAAGTGCACATTTTTGTTTTCATACTAAACCCTACTTAATTATAACCCGATTAAGCTATGCAATAAATAGAGTTTAATTTATTTAATCGAAAACGGGACGTCGTATAAAACAATGTCAAGAGACCACTTCCAAATTGAACAGGAATTTGAATGAAAAAATTCGAAAATCAGTGGCGTAACATTTTTTATTTAAAATTATCTATAGTCGTGTGAAAAGCTAGAAACAAAACATGTATTGTTGTTAAGAGCCTAAGAATGTAAAATTTTGTTTAAATATTCTGAGCGGTTTCCCAATATTAATAAGTAACATTTTTGTATTAAAACTTTGTCACCCGTTTGAGCTTTCTTATAATTGATTATTAGTGATTTACATTAAATATTTCTATTTTCTTATAAAATCTAAAAAAGTATCATTCTGTAGGGTTTTACAGCCACTTGGCTTCTACATGTACAAGATTTGCGGAATGTTTATATTCAAAAATCATGTGAAAATCTGAATGTGGAACAACCTGTTACTAAAAACTATAAATTTCTCTCATTTTATACCTCAGTTTTCGCATAAAAAAAATTAGACATAATTTATAAGCTGGCAAATGTTGATGGCGCGCAAGTAATTTGAAGCATTCGTTTTTTGGCCGGGGATTTTTTTAATAAACAACAAACTCCCCGTGATGGAACATCCTCGGGAGGCAAACTTTCGGAAGTTTTAAAGTTGGATAGAGAAAAATGTGCAGCGCCGACAAGCTAAGCACGAAGTTGCGGAACGCGAAGCTGAGTTTCGAGGAGTTTCCTTAACGACGCATTCGCTCTGGCTGAAGGAAACCGCCTCATTATCATGCCGCTAAAGTTTCAACGGGTTAGTGTGGAACCCTGATGGTTGGAAATTTGCCAACTAACCTTGCATCTGGTTTGGTGAAATGTTTATCTTAACAATAAACGTTTCTTTTCCAAGTTCGCATGTTAATAATATACAGAGTATTTCAAAAATTGCATTAATTCTCCACGTTGGTTGAGAGGCAAAAAAACTTATGACACTGATTCTTCGAAACGACAACTGTTTAAATTATGTAATGTAACTGTTCGTTTTCTTTTTCGGAATTTCCGGAATTTTCTACTTAATGAATGGTTAACAACGTCAATAATTAATTCCTAGTTTATCGAAACGTATAGATAACTTCTTATTTGGAAATTCTCATTATAAAACATTTTCTATGCAACCCAAATTTTAGGTAGAGAAGTCCTCCAAATAAAATTGCTCTCAAAACTATCCACTATTGTATGAAGCTCGATGAACTCTAATCGGAATATCCTGCAATTCCTGGAATCCAATTCAACTCATGAACAACATAAACGGACAACATTTTTGCATGGATTACAAGCAATTCAAATTTGTTTAGTAACATTTTACCCAAATTAATAAAACGGGAGGCAGATCAAATGAAAGTCAAATATGCCAGAGATTGTTTTAATGTTCGATTTTCATATCTATTTTCACATTTGCTTTCAGTGGTTCAAACAACCGAAAAGTCTATAATTTTTCTAATGATTTTATATGTTTTGTATATTTCGCAAATAGACCTTAAGCAATATTTTAAAATGTTCTTTATAATAGAACAAATAAATGACATTATCCAACGAGGACAAAATTGGATAGAAACAAATAAATGTTTTGTTTGATTTTAGGCACGTGCATTTTTACGTTTTCGATGCAAAAATTTGATAGCGATAAAATCACGATAGATCAAAAATAAATCACCAACACAGACTTGGGAATACGCGCTCATATTTTTTTTTCTTTTTAAATTTTATTTGTGTTTTATGCGACAGCATTTAGCATAATTGAACAAATCGAAAACAAAATCCGATATCAACATTTTTGAAGTGAAACCAAAG